TCAGGCTAAAAACCTGGAGTCCTCTGGACCTCTCATCTCTTTCTCACCCTCTTTGATCCATCAGCAAATCCAGATGGCTCTGCCTGCAGAAGAGATCTAGAATCTGACTACTTCTCCTACATCTTTTTGCCACCACCACCGTAGTCCATGCTGCCACCATCGCTTGCCTCCATAATTGCAGGTGCCTCCTTCCTTTGTCCTCACCCACCTCCACCTTCATCCGGTCCCCCATCACTTCTGCACATGGAAACTAAAGGTATACGCTCAAATTAGATCAGGTCCCTCCTCTGTTCACAGATCTTCTCTGCTCATGGGGCCCTCAGAATGAAGGCCTAGCATGAAACCTCCCCTGGAGCTTTCTGGTCCCACCATAAGTAAAGGACTTAAAGTTTCCCTATTGCCTTCCTCTCTGGATGGCCTCCAAGCCTTTGCACATGCAGGTCCCTCTGCCTGGAACAACTTCCATGCTTCATTCCAAGGCCGCTAAAAATGGGGTGCGCACACCCACTGTCCCAGCCTGGAGGGAAAAAGATGACCCCAGGCAGGACGCCCTCAGTTTCGCTTTTAGGACGCTGGGGCTTGGAATCCCGTTAGGCGGAGCCTGGGAGACCTTCCCTTACCCATGCCAAGTCCACCAGGGCTGTCTCGGACGGGGACCCGGTGCAGTGGGCCCAGTCTGGCCTAGGGGCCAGGTCCTTTCTGACAATGCCGCTGGCGAGCCTCACACGTGCCTTAGGTCAACCTACCCGCCGGACCTCAATTCCCGACATCCCTCGCGGTGCCGCTTGGTCTTTGTCAGGGTGACACGGAACCACGGTCCCCGCGGAAATAGGATTCACGGTGTGAACTACACTGCCCGGAAGACGCCGCGCTGTGCGGGGCATATCCGTGCGTCCCGCGCCGGGCAAGGGCGGAGCGTTGGCGTCGCCCTGAGGTTTTTCTCTCGACTTGCTGTGCGCCTGCCTGTTCGAAGGCCCTGATACCTGGGCTGGGGACGCGTTCTGGAAACTATAGGGCGTCGGCATCCAGGGCTTGAGGTGCTCCAAGTGTGGAAGGCGGGGGCGGCTCTTTTCCGGGCCTTTGCGCCTGCGGGCGGGGCCTAGAGCTGCCATCCCCAACTTCTCGAGCCTCGGGTGTCCTCGGAAGTAGAATGGACCGCCCTCGGGGATGCCCGCCGACTTCGCTAGAGCCCGTCCAACCCGGGGACCTTCCCAGAAGGGGCGCGTTGGGCGTGTTTCCACTGCTCTGAGCAGGCCTGGGGCGAGGCTCGGAGGCGCTGGTGGCCCGCAGCCCGGGCTCCACCCGCCGAGGGGGAACTGAGGGCGGAGGAGGTCTTTTTCAGCGGTCAGTTCCTAACGCGCCGCTTCTCCTCGGTCCCCAGGGGCTTACCATGGGAACAGCGGCGCCACCAGAAGTCTCTGGAGAGTGAAGGGTCCTGCTTACAGAAGCCCGGCAGTACCCTAACCCCGGGTCCTGGAGCCCCAACCTTAGTGAGTGGGTGAGTGTGCCGTGCGATTCCTGCCGTTTCCATTTCTTTGTGTGCCACGATGGGAGTCACTCTCATATTGTGCCTTTGTGTCCCACATTACTGGTCAGTGTGCGCCAAAAAAAGAGGGCAGGGCCTTGAAAGGGTTTTTCATGCTTGGAGACAAAGACATGCAGAGCCTTGTTTGTGAGCTTGAACTGGGAGCCATCAGGGAACCCCAGATCCTTCTTACATCTGGGGGGGAAAGATAACCTGATAGGAGAATTCAGGCTGCAGCCTAGGCTTTCTTTAAGGGGACCAAACGCTGGCTCTTTATTCTTACTCTACTCTTAACTGGTTTCTTTGGCTGGTGTGTGAACAGACTGAGGGGCAAGGGCAAAAGCAGGGAGGCCAGAGAGGAGGCTTCAGCAACAGTCCAGGCATGTAATGAGCCCTAGACCAGGGAGGTGGCTCTGGGCCAGACTTGGGAGATGGTGGACCCAGGCAGGGCAGACGGTGAGAGCATGTGCCAGGGAAGGGTCCAGGGAGGTTCTGCACGCTGCTGAGGCTCCGCAGGGGGACTCAGGCCTTGTAGGCACGCTGCTATGGAATGACGGCTCGATCGACTGCAAGTGCAGGTGTCAGGACGGGTTATCCACAGCGACAGCGGGGCTGGTGGGGCCTGAAGGACCGTCCTGTGGTGGAGCAGGTGGGACACACCTGGTGAGGCGTTAACACAAGCAAAGGCAGAGGCGTAAGAGGGCCAGGGGTATTTGGGAATGCAGGTGTGTGCAGCTGAGAGATGGAGCAGAGGACCGTGACAGGTGGGGAAGGCCTTGAACGAAGGGCCAGGGGCAGCCCCTAGCCCTGAGTGCCCCCCACTGGAGGTTTTGTTGCAAGATCAACTGGAAATTGGTTCTTGGCTATTATTTCCAAGGTCACTAGCTGCCACGTGCAGAGTGGCCTGGGGAGAGTTGAGAGGGCTGATCCGAGGACATAGAAGAAAGAAGAAGACCTAGGGGTGTGAGAAAGGAGCTGTCACAAACTGATGAGTCTGTCATGAGTCAGGCAGAACAGTGAGTACAACTTGGTGCTGGGGCCCTAGGGGAAGTTTGTGCACCTGGGGCTATTTTTGTCGTAGGTCACACTGTGGGGAGTGTCCAGGGAACCATCTGGAAATAGGGCATATACAGATTGGATGATATCCATTTCCCCTCCTACTTTATGATGCAGTGGCGGCAGTGCAGTGGCCAGTGGGTCTTGGGACAAGGAGAAGGCCCTGATGCTGGTACACTAGCGTTCCTTCTGAGGAGTTAGGGGTTATATCTGGGAGGTGTTATAGGGGAGAGGGTTGCCAGGGGAGAGAGGAAGGTGCCCTGGGTTCTAGGCCTGGGGCTCGAAGATTTCCACTCATGTGCCCTGCAGGATCAGCTGTCTTCCTCACTGCAAGGCCTGGTGACCCAAGGATGTGGCCATGTACCTCTTGGGAGGTGTGGAGACTCTTCACTGGCCCAGAAGATCCTGTACCAGGATGTGATGTTGGATGACTTCACGTTCACAGCCTTACTGAGTGAATCTCCTGCCTCTCTTTATGTGTTCTTTTTCAGAGTTGTGGGCACTCACTAGTGCTCCCCCTGAGTCACTCCACCTTTGCTGCCCCAGGCTTGTGGTGGCTTGGGGAGAAATGTCAAGGTTCTCTCCATCTTTCCAACAAGCCATTGGGTTTGGCTTCATAACAGGGTGTCTCTGTGCCATGGATTCTGCTTTCTTTCTCCAGCAGATACTTCCTTAGAATTGCCACTGCCAGTCTCTGGGGGTCCTGTTGTCATTGCTTGCAAGGGATAGATTGAACGAAGGGCCAGGAGCAGCCCCTGGCTATTCCTGAAAAACCCCTCTCAAAGTTTCATTTTGTGACATCCTTCCTGCTTCCTCCTCACTAATGGTAAAGATGAAGCCAGCTTCTTGACTTCCGCAGAAGGGTCAACAGTCCAGGCAGGCCCCTTACCTGCCCTGTCCTCCACAGGACTCGTGGCCACTCCATCCCACAAGGTCATTTTGCCAGAGCATGACCTGGAGTTCTGGTTATCTAACTGGGAAGATGCAATTCTAGCCATTAAAAACAACAGAGTCCCAGAGGAGGTGGGCCTTGCTGAGTGAAATTCAGGTATGGGCTGAGGCCTGGTCTAGGTTGAATTGCGGCTGGCCATGGTCCTGTACCACATCACTGTCCTGCTGCCAAAGTCACTGTCCCAACCTCAGTCCAACTTCTTACACCTTTTGGAACATTCCGTCCTCTTGCCTCCTCTTCCTGATGTCTAGTTCCCACCTCTCCTTCCTCACGTTTCATCTTGTAACTACTCTCCCTATGCCTGGTCCTCCAGTGTTGGCTTCTGTGTAGCTGTTAGGATATGTTCATGTTTTGGTAAATAATCCTTGGAAGCCTAATCCTAAGAAGTGACTGGATGTGACATCCGTGTCTGGGCTCTTCCTGTGCAGCGTTTGCCTGTCCCAGCAGACCTACTTCATTGTGTTTGCAGAGGGTGAGCAGCAGATCCTGCCAGCCACATTGAATCTTTGACCCTGTTGAGATATTTTGCACTGGCCTGGCCAGAGCCTGTACCAACAGGACTTGCTCTTTTCCCCCTGATCCTGGCCCCCTTCGTTTCTCATGAACCCAGGGAATCTGTTCTTAGCTTATTAGACACCACTTAATGATGGATCCATCCTCACCCACCTACCATGACCTACAGAAAGGGCATTTCCCTATTTTCAGGTAATTCATGTGGAAGGGAAGATAAGGAGGCACTGTTGGAATAAGATGTTTCTAGAAAAATCGTATCACAGGTCTGGACTCCCAGTGCTGGTCCTTCTAGCCAGAAGGTCCACCCCTATAACCCAGGTGGTTAAGTCTTCAGAGACGTTGTCCCTGGAGAAGCATGGAAACAGACCTGGGCAGAAACTGCACACGTGTGGGGCATACAGGAGAGAATTCTGGTTCCACTTAAACCTTCCACTGAAACAGCAGACTTCAGTATGGAGAGAAACCTCTCACCTGTGATGAGTGCATGCTACAGAAAAGCTGTGCACATGTAAGGATGTCCTAGACAGCCATGACCTAACACCCACCCACCCGCGGTGATAGGAAGCCGTTAAGGAGCACCAAGCTCAGGAAGGCCTTCCCACCCAGCCCCAATATTGGGCAGTTCCCAAAGTCCACACTGCAGAGAAGCCCTTCAAGTGCAGCAACTGGGGGACAGCCTTCCTGAAGAGCTCCACCCTCCTTAGCCACCTGACTCACCCTGAAGAGAGACTATATAGATGCCCAGCAAATAGAAATGTCTGCAAGAAGAAATCAGTGCTTGTTAGTCACCAAAAAATTCACACTAGAGAAATATCCTATGTGAGTCAGGAGAGTAGGAAGAACTTCAGCCACACCTGTAAACTGAAAAAGCATGAGAAAATTCACTCTGGGAAAAGGCCTTACAAGTGCATGGAGTGCGGAAAAGCTTTCTGCCAAAGTTATACTCTAAATCAGCAGCAGAAGGTTCGTGCTGGTGAAAGGCCCTGAGTGTAGCAAATGTGGAAAAGCCTTTGGCCACGTGTCTAACCTTATGAAGTACCAGAAGGTTCACACTGGAGAAGGGCCCTATGAGTGCAGCCATTGTGGGAGAGCCTTTAGTGAAACCCGAGCCCTTGTTCAGCGCCAGATTGTTTACAACAAAGAAGGGCCATGTGAATGTGGCAAATGTGGGAAAGCCTTCAACCACCAATTCCACATAATTCCACACCAGATGTTGCAAACAAGAAAGGCCTATGAGTGCACCAAATATGGCAAAGCCTTGGGGCACCTGGGTGGCTCAGTCAGTTAAGCATCTGCCTTCAGCTCGCATCATGCTCTCAGGGTCCTGGGATTGAGCCCTGCGTCAGGCTCCTTACTCTGCTTAGTCTGCTTCTCCCCCTCCATCTGCCCCTTTCTCCTGCTTGTGCTGTCTCTCTTTCTCTCAAATAAATAAGTAAAATATATATTTTTTTTAGAATGTGGCAAAGCCTTGAGCCAGGGTGTCTACTTTGTTCTGCATGATAGAGTTCATGCTAGAGAAAGCCCTTACGAGTGTACTAAATGTGGGAAAACTTAGCCAGCCCTCCACCCTTATTCACCATGAAAAAGCTCACACTAGAGAAAGGTCTTGCAAGTGCAGCGAGTGTGGGAAAGCCTTTAGCTGCAGATGTAATTTCGTTAAACACCAGAGTTCACACCAGATAAAGCCTTTAGGATTGCAGTCAGTGTCAAAAAACTTTCAGCCCAGGCGGCACGTTGCTCAGCTCCAGTGCATGAGAGGAAGGCACATGAGTGCAGTGAATCTAGAAAAGGGTGGTTTACCGCTGTGGCTTCATTCAGCATGAAAGGAATCACAGCTAGGATGAGCCCTGCATGCGCAGCATTCGTGAGGTAACTTCCAGCAGCCGTTAACCCTTATGCACCAGAACACTCCCCTGAGGAAGTGGTCTACGTGTGGATGTTTGGTGGTCACCCCACACACGTGCCATGGACCCCCACCAAAATTTACCTCCGAAGCTGATGCTGTATACACCAAGAGAATTTATTTATTTTTAAAGATTCTATTTATTTATTTGACAGAGAGAGATATAGTGACAGAGGGAACACAAGCAGGGGGAGTGGGAGAGGGAGAAGCAGGTTTCCCGTGGAGCAGGGAGCCCGATGTGGGGCTCGATCCCAGGACCCTGGGACCATGACCTGAGCCGAAGGCAGACGCTTAACGACTGAGCCACCCAGGCGCCCCACACCAAGAGAATTTAAGAGAAAGTTTATTCACACAGAGGACTCCTGGGGAGATCTGGACAGTCACAAGCAGGTCTAGGCTGACTGTGCAGAGCAGCAGGTCCGGGGGAGTGGGTTGGACCTTGGTGGCTAAGGGAAGGAGCTGGGGAAAAGTTGCTGCATGGAGGCTGGAGACTTGTGACATTTAAGGTGCCAAAGGAGAGGGAGCATGCAAACTTGCCTGTTAACCTGTCCATATAAGGAGCCAAAAGGGAAAGGGAACATGAGGTTTAGAAAAAAGTCAGCAGTCAAGCATCAGAAATGGAGTCAGACTCTTTAATGCAGCGGGAAAGCCTCTGTTGTCCGGTTGTGTTGTGTCTGTGATCTGCCGGCATCTGGACAAGCGTCTGTGGCGCCTGGACTGTGCTGCGGTCATGCCTGTGTTGCTCAGGGAAGTCTGCAGCTGAGCTCCCCTGGAGGGAATCCCCCTTGTCCTGAGCTGGGGTGGGGTTTCATATCTATCATCCATGACTGTGTTAGGCATGGACACATGCCAGCTCTGGACAAGGGGACCCGAGGAGTCTCTGGAGGGATTCTGGGAAAGTTTCCTCTCTTCATAGATGTCAACTCTGTGTGTAATAACCGTGATGAATTTCATGATCCTCTGAATTAACATTCAGACCAGCTTTCCTTTTTCTTTCCTTTCTCTTCCTTTCTTTCTCTTCTCTTCTTTTTTCTTCTAGTAGACTCCATGCCTAGTGTGGAGCCCAGTGTGGGGCTTGAACTTACGACCCTGAGATCAAAACCTGAGCTGAGATCAAGAGTCGGAGGCTTTTTTTTTTTTAAGATTTTATTTATTTATTTGACAGAGACAACGGTGAGAGAGGGAACACAAGCAGGGGGAGTGGGAGAGGGAGAAGCAGGCTTCCCGCTGAGCAGGGAGCCCGATGTGGGGCTTGATCCCAGGACCCTAGGATCATGACCTGAGCCGAAGGCAGACGCTAAACGACTGAGCCACCCAGGCGCCCCAAGAGTCGGAGGCTTAACCCACTGAGCCACCCAGGCACCCCCAAACCAGCTTTCTCAGACTACTCTTGACTCATAATAAATGCCTTATTTTTAATTTTTTTTAAATATTTTATTTATTTGTTTGTCAGCACAAGCAGGGGAGAATGGCAGGCGGAGGGCGAAGCAGGGTCCCTGCTGAGGAGGGAGCCCAGTGCAGGACTCAGTCCCAGGACCCTGAGATCATGACCTGAGCCAAAGGCAGATGCTTAAAGGACTGAGCCACCCAGCCGTCCCATAAATGCCTTATTTTTAAAAATCATTTTAAATCTCCATTGCTGGGGTGCCTGGCTGGCTCAGTTAGTAGAGAATATAACTCTTGATCTTGGAGTTGTGAGTTCAAGCTCCACATTGGATATAGAGATGACTTAAAAAATAAAATCTCTATTGCTTTATTTATCATGAGGAAGACGTTGAGATATTGAGATCTGCCAGCATGAAAATGAGCAAGTTTTTTGGGGGGTCCCCGTAACATCTGCCTCAGGGGGGACTGCGGATTGCAGTGCATGCCTCTGTCCAGTTGTGACATTATTGTATTACTACCCCTAGGCCTCCTATATGAAGAGCACTACAAGCTGAAATTTGTGACCTTAGGTCAGAGTGACTTAGGAACCTGGAGCTCTTTGTGATAAAGGGGGTGGCTGATCCATTGTCAGAAATGAGAAAGAAGTGGGTTCCTTGTTAGAGCGTTTGTCATTTCCCTAGAAGTGTTGAGGAGAAGCTGACTTCTGGGACATGACCAGAACCCATAACCCTGGGAGGCTGGACCCCTATGTGTAGGTATCACAATATAAGACCTGCATGGGCCAAGTGCATGAGATATGTGGATAAAGAAACACCATGAAGGGGTGCCTGGGTGGCTCAGTCAGTTAAGCATCTGCCTTCGGCTCAGATCATGATCCTGGGATCAAGCCCCACATCAGACTCCCTGCTCAGTGGGGAGTATGCTTCTCCCTCTCCCTCTGCCCCCACCTTGTACTCTCTTTTTCTCTCAAATAATGAAATAATCTTAAAAGGGGGGGGCATCATGAAGTTACAGAGAGAGGAGGGTCCCTGAAAAACTAGAGGGGACATAGTCTGTTTAAAGAGACTCACCTGGGGCGCCTGGGTGGCTCAGTCAGTTAAGTGTCTGCCTTCGGCTCAGGTCATGATCCTGGCGTCCTGGGATGGAGTCCGACGTTGGGCTGCCTTCTCGGTGGGAAGTCTGCTTCTCCCTCTCCCACTCCCCCTGCTTGTGTTCCCTCTCTCGCTGTCTCTCTCTGTCAAATAAATAAATAAAATCTTTAAAAAATAAAGGGACTCACCTGCTCCATTGTCTATGGTCGTGCTGCATGGGGTGTGCAGAGCTTCCAGGACCTGTAGACCTGTGTATATAGAGAGGAAAGAACTGGGTTACCTGGCTGGCTCGGTCAGTAGAGCATGTGACTCTTGATATTGGGATCGTGAGTTCAGGCCTCATGTTGGACATAGAGTGTACTTTATGAAAGAAAAGAGAAGAGGAAAAAGAGAAAGAAAAGAAAGGAAGGAAGGAAAGAGAAAGAAAGAAAAAAGGAAGTAAAATGGCCCTCCCAATGTATAGAGAAAGAGAGAAATGGATCAATACACAGTCGCTCTGTATTCAGATGTTCAAGAAAAGACAGAGGTATGGGTTTTTATGTAGAATGTCCTGATTTTATAAATGCTGGCATCATTTATGTCAACATTGTTAATCTACATACAATAAAATTCTAATTTTTAATTTTTTTTAAAGATTTGTTTATTATTTGAGAGAGAAAGTGAGGGGAGGATGTGCTAAACATCCAGGTTCACAGCAGCCCTACTCCCAATTTCAAAGGGGGAAAGCACTTTATTGATATTATAAAAATCTAATTGAAACAGAAAGAAGGGAAATCTGCACATAGATGAGGGCAATAGTAAGCAGTAAAGTAGAACAAGACAAATTACATCAAATTGGGTACTTAAAACATCCAACCTCATTAGCTGGGGAAGCCCCGTGGAGACAGCCATGCTGGAGTTCTGACTGAGAGGCCTAAGCGGAGCGTCCTCCCCTCAGGTGAGACTTTCAACTGACCATCCCAATCAGGGCCGTATTTACAGGGCAAATGACGGGGTCTAAAGTTAAACATGTGTTTGCCTATGTGCAGTTTGAAGTGGGCTGCATTTCTATGTTATCAAGTCTTTACATCTTCAAGGAGCCTGGGCCATATACTTGTCTCTCTTCCCAGATTCCATTCTGGGGGGCCAGCCCAGCCCAGAGCCAGAGGAGATACAAGGCAAAATTTATAGCTCTTAGTGTCCAGGTCGGAAAGGCCAGTCCTGACCTGGAGGCCAGCTAATGTCAACTACCCAGACTCCCGAGGTTACTCATGCAGCACAAGTCTCACAAACAACATTCTTTAGCCTACCTGCGTTTGTGCAAGTCAGGGTGGTGGGTTATGCAGGACAAATCATAGAAACCTCCACCCATAGATATAGATGGGCAGAGGGAGGGGAAGAATCTTCAGCTGACTTCCTGCTGAGCACACAGCCCGATGCACGACTGGATCTCACAACCTTGAGTTCATGACCTGAGCTGAAATCAAGAGTTGGATGCTTAACGGATTGAGCCATCCAGGCGCCCCAAATGCTCCTAAGTTTTTAAAGTAATCTCTACACCCAACATGTGGCTCAAACTCATGACCTGGAGATCAAGATTCAGATGTTCTTCCGACTAAGCCAGCCCGATGCCCCAAAATGCTCTTTTAAATGTGTAAGTGAGTTTTACAAATGTATACACCTATGAAATGGCCACACTTAAAATACTGAACATTCTCGGGCGCCTGGGTGGCTCAGTTGGTTAGGCGACTGCCTTCGGCTCAGGTCATGATCCCGG